TGCATGATCCCAAGAGACGACGTCTCTCTCTCTTTGAGACTTAGATTTACCCCAAGATTACTAATCGAACGTCTGTTCATGTTTGAATTAAATATAAGAAGCTTTTGTTAACATGAAATAATTATTTTTCATTAAAATATATATTACTCGAGTAATTGCTCTTAAAAATTACTGTAACGTAACAAAATACTCTAGAATAATCATTTTAAACAGCAGTATGTTTAAATAACCCTCCAAAAAAGAATATTGCACAGCACAAGAGTTCTCATCACTTTCTTTATTAAGCGAATACGATTTTTCGTTTTGGCTTACAGTCCGAACGGTTGACAGGTGGGGACGTCTCGATTTAGCACAGACGAAAATAATCAGAAGACCACTTCACAAATCGCAAGTGCAAGTGCAAACACACTTTATCATAGAATTCCAGACACTTCTACCCCGCGCACATGTTCCGAATTCGCGAGCCTGAGGGATGCCACCCCATCTGAGCGTCACATATGTCGAGGTCTCTTCGGCAGGACCCTTCTTGCCATCCCATGGTGTACCATTGCATACTAGTAGTACCTTGGTACTCCAGACCGTAGGGTGCACGGATACTATTACCGTAGGGCAAGTGCGGTTCGCTACGGCAACACGCCCGCCTATTTTAGATTTTGCAGAATCAGCAGAATCATCGATCCGTGCCAAACATGCGAAATTCACATTATTGCTATTTTTGCCTGACAAAATACATTTAATGGTATAAGAACCTGAAACCTTCTTAAAATTATCTCGAAAATAAATGTTTGATTTGTTATTATCTTAATTTTACAAAATTTGAAAAATATTTTATTAGTTATTTTAACAAACAGAATTACGTATCATGCATATAGGATAGATGAAAGGACAATTGTTAGATATGATATAGCTTCTTCAATATATACCAATAATTTATTATATTACAAATTTAATTATATTATTTTACAAATTTATACCGCTCCCTTATTTCAAAAGTGAAATAACTCGAAAAACGTAATTTTCGAGTTATTGCCATAAATGAATTAAGTAAACATTATCCTATTAATCATAAAAATTTACTTAACTTCATAAAATTGTTAAAATCATCATAACTCAAAAAGCTCTTCTATGGATTGTTAAATAATAGACTAAATAGATTAAATAATAACTAAATTGCTACATCGTCATAAAGTGATGTTTTTAAGAACTGCTAAACAAATATGAGAAAATAACATTTGATCATTTTAAAAATATTCTTTGCCGATATATTATTTGGTTAGTCAATAATTTTCTGTCTCAAGTTTAAAAATAGTTTTTTCTTCTTTCTGTGAAATTTAATTTTTTTAGTTGTGTCACTTTTTAAGTAATGGAGAGCCATATCTATATTACAGATCTCAATTTCTTAAATCGACATTTTTTATTATGCAACATTTTTTCTACTAATCAACGATTTTAATGCAACAGTGAAGATTATCTTCCATACTCTGGCTACAGAGCTAGCTAAGTCGAAAATTCGTTTGATCCGCAGTAGCGATCCTTTAAGCTACCCTATTGTAGGAACGAGTTCTATGGAACAAACAAAAAAATATTATCATAGCCTGATAATAAGCTTAAAAGGTAAGCTAACTAGTGCAGAGTGTACCTACGCAAACCGTAGTAATACTGAGTCGTACGACCCTCCCAATTGGTAATTGGATTTGGTCGGTGCGGTGATGTTCATTTGACATCATTGGAACATTTAGGTACGTCGACACCGCTCGCTATTGGATTACTGGAATATTTAAGAGGAATGTCTTTACATAAAATTTATTAAAGTATTTATTACTCAATATACAGTTTTTCTTATTATTATTTTTGTCACGTTTCTAAATAATAAATAAAAACTTAAGATAATGGTTTTTATAAAGTATAAAGAACGGTTTCATTTAGAGAAATTTTGTAGATTTAACTTCAACAGATCACTCTCTCGAAATTTTGTTTTTGCAAACTGAAACAATCTTTCTTTTTAAGGATCGAAGCATAACGTAGCAAAAAGTAGCACCTCCATTTCTAAATAGCTTCTCATACTCTCGGAGCCGCGTCATTGCCATAAGGTGGCAATGTTACAGGCCGTTGGGCAGCTGAGAGGGATTTCATGAATCACGGCACTGAAAGAGAAGACGAGCCTCAGAAAAAAGGAGATTGAAACCGGTTTGGCACGCGCGTATGTCGAGTGTTTCGTAATGACGCCTGCAGACCCTCATTAAGTTTCATTATCTTGCCATGTGATAAACATTAATCGACGACCCTTGACACTTTGTATACGACGTGTATGTTAAGTAATTTTAGCGATTATTCACTGCTTGATTTTATAACGAGCACCAACAAATAGATAAATATTTCAGTTCAATTTGAATACCAATATTTCTTCAAACACAAATATAAAAATATATGTATATTTCATAACGTAGCATGTAGTGTATTAATATTGGATTGCCTACGATCAATTTTAATTGATAGCACGACTGGTAGCAACAACAGAAATGCTTGCAAATGCAAAACAGTCAAAGAAGTAGATTCAAGACGGTTGAAGTGGAAAGAAGGGAGGAAGACCAAATTACCCGGCACAGAACACATTATCTCCACTTGATAGGCCCCATACCCCTGAAGCAGTGGCTCTCCGATGTACATTGTTTGAACAAAATCACGAGAAGAATAGATTTTCTTTGCAGTCTTACACTAGTAAGAAGATTGTGAAACACTGCAGGTCCTTCTTTCTCTTCTTTCCCTTTTAACTTCGCGATTGCCTTTATTCCCTCCATCACATAAATTTATTCAAACAAATTCTATAATTACTTTTTCGACCCAACTGCCACTTGACCTAAGATTTATACACTCGATTACCTAGCAACACTCAACGTTTTTATTCTTTACGAATCTTGTAATTTTACGATAAGCTTATTTTTTACTAAAATAAAATAAGTAAAATATAAATTATAATAAACTTACAAACATTTAAAAAAGAAGGCATAAAATGTTTGACATTGATGATTCAACATTTGTTATCCAGAATATATTTGTTAAGAAGTTTTTTTTAGATATGAAAATAAATAATGATAAATATATGCAATTCTTCTAAAAGAAATATGAAGACAATCAGGATTTAATCAAACTAAAAATAAATAAAAAAATTTTATTATGAAGAATAAAATATGAAAATAATATGTAAGACACAATTTGATTTGACTAATTTGTATCTACAAAAATCGATCTATTAGCAACTAAACAATCGATTAAAGAAGTCAATCGATGAAGAAATCTGTTTGGTATATTGGGGACTCTGTAAATTTCTGAAAAAAGAATTAAGTCATCTTAGTAAAAATTGCAACAGTTAAATGGGAGTACAATCTAGAATAGAATGAAATGTATTTCAGTAACACATATCTCATCGTTGAACGTTATTGGATTAAAGTAAAACTCTTGCAAGAACTTAACAAGTAGACACAAAAAATACTAATTCCAATCTTAATATACTTCGTCTATTAGTATGTTGGAATCTATTGAAGTATTATTATTTATGTGGAATATTTACTTTTTAAAGTAAATATAAGAATTTAACAAAAATAAATGGCATATTTTAAGATTAAAATGATAGAATCCTAAAAGATATTTATTTAAAAACAAAAGTTTAACTTTTGCAATAGTTTTTATGTATTTATTTTTTTTAACACATAAGTAGAAAACGCCATATTCGGTAAAGCGTGCCTAATAATATTTTTTGTAAATATTAGACTGAAGTTGGAGTAGTATTATTACGAATTAAGTTAATCATTCCTTTAACTTTTACTCAACGGAAAGGAGCATCACAGCATGGACCTCGTTCGTGTGCGGCTCGCGCCGGAATGACAGTCTCTTGATGTTGCCGCCACGGCGCCACAGTCCTTGGTGTCCCAGGTGGGCGTCGATATGGGTATGGGTAGCTTCATCCATTGGTCGTGCGACTCGCAGTGGATTGGTCCACGGTACAAAATGGGCAAGACCTTCCAGACGGGCTGGTCGATGCGCGGTATCACTCATAGCCGCGCCCACTACGATTCTCCAGACCCGACCCCACTGGGACCTGCTGGCACGCCGCTAGTGCCGGCCCTGACACATTCGACAAGCGGCACTGTAACGGGAAGCAACGTGCGACTGGGGACCTCGAAGGACCTCTCCGCTAGTCACGAGACACGTTTTGGCGGCGACGATAATACGCCAGGGTGCTGCCGGCAAGTGCTCAGATTATCATCGCTATACACGTTCGTGTCTCAGACATCATCATCTAGTACAGGAATTGTAAAACAATTTCGAAGAGAAAAGCATTTTTTTGGGAAAACATTCAAGAGGCGGCCGATGACATCCCTCACGAAGAAGTCTATGAACATACGACACGTTGCATAGAGAGTGATACATCAGTGATAAAGATCCGCGACGCGGATCAATAAAGGACAAGGAACAATATCCTGCGCGGGCAAGTGAGAACAGTGCATTGTGAGACACCAGCGTGGTTCTTAGTGCGCGCTCGTATCGCGAACTCGTGGCACGCACATTTGGACGCATGTGCACCGGCACGCGGTCGGTGCGCCCGGCTTGACGGTGCGGTTCGGAAAGACGCGACACCGTCAGTGGTGAGCGGACGTTCATGCACCGCCACGGGCTGCCGGCCGCTAACGTTCCAGTGATAATGATTCATGCGCGTTCTTAAAGAAACGTGGCACCGGACGTACCCGCTCTGACGGAGAGACAACCGGTGGAGTCTCCCGCGGGGACGCGAAGGGGTGATCGAGGGGGTGACGAAGATTTCTGCAAAGAGTGGCAACGCGAAGGAGGAAGCCTGTTGCCCCAAGAGAGTCCGTACGGCCTCACCACGCGGTCCGACGAGTGGAGCAGTCTCCTGCCCAGCTCCACAATCGTGGGTGCTGGGGGGTCACCATGGCTCGGACTCGGAGGGGGTGGTACTGGGGCTACCACAGGAGGCGGAAGTCCCGTCGAGCTCGAGGGCCACTGGGGACGTAAGCTGTACAGCGCGAGTGTGGCACCACCACCCCCGCCGCCTCATCATCATCCGCGAGCACCGTTGGTTTTCGCGCCTCAAGATATGAGGCAGATACTGAAGGAGGAACCTGTGCCACGTGCTTGGCCGCAGCCCGCGCTCGCCGACAACGGAACGTGAGTACAAAAAAATACTATAATCTTCACGTTTGACAGAAAATAAAGAGTGATTGAGATATGTGATTATATCTACCGGCGGAGATACAGTAGATAAAATTGATATATGTTGTCGGAACTCTGTCAGAAGAATATTTACGATTAGTTTTAACATTCATTTCATACAATTTTATTATTATTGGCGTAACAATTAATTTCATTGATGATATACTTATTATTAATTAATGATATATTTACAGTCGTTTTATTTAAGAGGTTTTTACGTAATACGTATAATATATGGCTGAGTGTAAATTGGATCATCTTTTTAAACTATTTAACTTCAAAATATATATACTATAATTTATCTCTGCAACGGAAAACGGCTCAAAGAGAACAATAAAATAGAAAATATTTTATGTGATATATTCTTTCTGCTAATTGATGAACAATATATTTACAATTGCGCAATATAATCTTCTTATCATTATTACGTGATTATATTTTAATAATATATATTTTTAAAAACACATAATATATATTTTTCAAAACACATAAAATATAAAATATATACTGTAAACTTTTATTTGAAATACTAGATATATTATACGTGCCATTTCGTTTGTTATCGAACGAACCAAAATATTTATTGTATAGAATTATAATTATTGTGCTTGATTTTAATTTCTAACTCGTTTAAACAATCAATTATATATACAAACAACGTGATAACATTGAAATGCGAAGATATACTCACATTTAGTAGAAATTATAGAAATATTTGTGCTGCTCTGTATAGTAGGTATTTGCCGTCGGATCGCACGGCAAGCTATATTCCTGCGTAACAGTTTCAATCATACATTTTTACTAAAATTATAGTAATTTTTGGCATTATAAACACTTAAAAAAAATTGATTTTACATAAATATGCAAATTATATTAAGTTTATTTAAAAAACGAGTAATCACACATGGTTGTTACAAAGGGATAAGCAATTCGCAACAGTAAGCTAAAGTATATTTCCTTTCCTTTTAAAATATTTAAGAAATATTATTTTTTTTCGTCAAAGAATAACGATTTGTCCAATCTGTCGCTTTAGATCAATTTATTATCGTTAACAAATCACCATGACCTGTCACAAAAAGACCACAGCTATGAATGACACATCTGTAAATATTCTTTGTTGGCGACTACATTTGTAACTTTCATTTCACGAATTGTTGCTTTATATTTTCTAAACTTTTAACCATATTTCAAATCATATTTTGTGATCGTTTGAAATCATGATTTGTATCTATATTTGTGTAGGAAATAATAAACCGTTCTTTACTGCAATGTCACTAAAAAAATTTGAATAAAGACAGTAGTTTGATGATACTTGTCCAGGATGATTCGGAAAGGTAAATCAGATGAGCCGACGGATTCGCTAATCTAATAGCGGTTCTCTAACTAATCCCTTCTTCCAAGTACCATGACACAGGGACCGACCAGAATCAAGTTAATGTAATTGAGAATTTTAGCGCCTTTTGCTCATCTCTTTGTCCCAGACTTTTCCTGTTTTCCCTGTACTTTCTTCGTCATTTATCTTATCGTTTCTCCTCCTATCGCTATCAAAATTGGTGTATATGTAAAAAAGGCAAATATTATTCAGCCCGCACTTGAAAAATCAAAGCGTAATGAATTTTATCAAAGCTAAAGAAAAATTTTAGAACGCGTTGATTATACTTTAAAGACTTTACCAAACGTAAATCATGTCATTTGATGTTCTGGAGTAATTAAAATTACGGTATATAAGTAAGATAAGTAAGAGAACTTTTTTCAATTTTATATTTAAACAAATTTTAAGAATTATTATATAAATGTGATGTTATTGTTGATGGAAGAACGTGTCATAAATGGCTCCTGTTATTGCGAGATAGACAAGATCGAATACAAAATTTTGGAATATACACATTTTGATAAATTTAATTAAACCAATGTTGTGGCAATCTGTATAATTGTATTACAGGAGTTTAAGAGTCGCAAAATGTTAGACGTCAACTTTCGCCTTCATGGAAACTCAAGCTGGAAAGTTTCGTTTCCTGCTACTAAGAACAGTTATACCACACAACTGCGTTACACCGAGATCAACTAGGAGGGGTATGCGAAACTGTTTTAAAACTCCCGCGAAGCACAGGCATAAACTCTCGCGCTTTTTAAAAACCCCTAAAAAAGTTATCCACCTAATGAAGCAGTAAACCACGGCACTCGAGGGAAGGGGCTGTCGCGCAGCGAAAAACGATGACCTTTCGTATGAATAAAAGACAAAGGAAAAAGAGCGTGAGAAAAATTGTTATCGATCTTCAAAACTGTAGTCGCTTCGACAAAATCTCGGCAAAGACATATCGTAATACACATAAACTTTACTATTGAACATATACACTGCTAACGTTCTATATAATAATAAAAATATTGATTCTATATAGTTTTTAAAATAATCAATTAAATATCACGCCTGTCATAATTTAAAGACGATCGTAAAGCTAAACATTAAATGTTTGCTATACCACGTAATAGTTAATACGTTTTAATATAACATAATTATATTATATTCAACTTTTAATTAAAATATGTGAAAATTATTTATTATCAAGTATTCTCATGCGGGATATTTGCGAAATATATGCATCACAGTGTGTTAATAACTAATAGATTTTTATGCAGCAAAAGGTACGATGAAACACGGTATTAAATTGAACAACGTTCGCAGTAACGCGCCCTGGTAGCAAATTACATTCGGATATATTACAAATTGCTCATTATCTCCGTGCGCATTATGAATCGCGTTGGGCTCGAGCGTAAACAGAGCGCGCTTCGGTTAACTCGCAATAACTAACGCCCGACGGTACGTATTACCCACGGATTTATTGTAATTCTCTACGATTGCTTTATCCGTGAATTCGTAACCATATTGGTGGCTTCGTATTATCCGCATATATTTCGTCCATAATGCATGGCGTACAAATGGCACAGGTCGCATCTCTCGTGTATAAAGTATAAGCAACATTGATCGGTTTGTCCGATAATCTAGTTCCTCCAAATACATCGAAGATCGCGCCTCGTCATCATTTAAATGTCGATTACGTTGTTATCGGATACCCAAGTGATATCACAGATTTTACGTAGAAATGAAAAAGCTCCGTCTGGCAATTGCCTAACGTGATATAAAACGCAATTCCCTTCGTAACTTTAACCACACGGTCCGTAAACCGCATGAATGCGTCACTTTTCATTCGCCGGTAAGTATTCGTATAATTGTGCAATATATGCGCGATTTCGCAACGCTTTGATAATTAAGGTCGCAGTACAGACTTTTGCATAAGAATGGGAGTACAGAGTACTACTCTTGCATGACGCATAATACATAAAAAAAATCAATCAATCAAAGACCTTTATTTCCTTTCTTTCCATAATAAAAAACCAAATAAAAAACTGTGACTGATTTTCTTACGCTTTATGTAAAAGTCTATGCTCCAGCTTTAACGTTGCATAGCACATAAAGCCCATTCTATAATTGCGTAAGCGTAATTGTAAGTGATTGTAGTTATAAGAATTAACCAATCACAGTCAAATATGAGGAAAATATTCCTCATATTCCGATTGTGATTGATTAATTCTTACGTAATTGTAGAATGGGATTAATTAACTAATCAGAGTATGAAATGGAGAACTGCTGTGGTCTTTATTTGTGAGATCGCGAATATGCCATTCGAGAAAGTCTCACGTTCCATATTTTCATTCGCGCATTTAAATGCGTGTCGCGTTTTAGCCGATATCATCATCGAGATTGATCGAAATCCAATCGAAATCAAATCAAACTGCACGGGCACTTTAGTCGACGTGAAAGAATGATCCTGCGGTGGATTAGCGGTGGCGGAGGGTCGAATGATTCGCAGATACTGGAACGAGCAGCGTTATCTGCGAGACCGAAAGCGCGCACGTGGCAAATTGCACGCACGAATACAGTAAACGCGAATGGAACCCGTAATTATCACCTCGGCATCGGTCGATGGGACACGGCCGTCAACGTAAACGCATAAAGCGCACGTTATCCACATGTATCTGTGAAACGTAATTCACACTAAGGATAATAAACACTAAGGATCATACAATTCAGAGAACAAATAACTGTGTGAAAAGTACCCAGTTAAGAGTCGGATATTAGTAAAAATATATATGGATTATATTTTCATTCACTGCAACATATTTTACAGTATTGTGAGAGAAAAAAGAACCCGTGAAAAAATCCGGAAAAGAATAGAAAGAAAACATTCTCTCTCTCTCTCTCTCTCTCTCTCTCTCTCTCTCTCTCTCTCTCACGTCTTGAGGAAAACTCATAATGGGAAAAATATTTTTCTCTTTCTAAAATTATACCATTTCTAATTATACATATATAGAAAAAGGTCACCGATACCGACATACCACTTTATTTTTAGACAATATTTCTTAAACAAAAGGTAAAAATACAACTTCAAAAACATAAATACAAACTAAAAAGTGTCTTCTATCAGATA